AGAGACGCCTGTTTGCGCCAAGCGCGGGGAAGGGGTGGAGGGGATAGGGTGGGGTGAGGTGGAGGATGGCGAGGGTGTTAGAAACCAGGCTTAGATTGGGAGGGGCCAGAGCTTGGGCCGCTATACGCTGAGTCAGCCGAGATGCGCACCGCAACTCCATCCTCGCCGGCCTCCGCCTTTGGGGTTCTTCGGCCTCACCCGCTTCCTAGCGGGTGCCTCCTCCCACAGTCCCCACTCTTCGCCTCCCGATCGGTCCTGCCAGCCGACTCCCGGATTCGTTGTGGCCCCCGCCTAAGTGCCCTCGAAGACCAAATCTCGTTGTGGCTTCCTGGATGCAATGGGAAGCGGCTGGGGAATTGCGCCGCCGAGTTGGAGGCCCGGGAAAAGGACAGGTGTGGGAAGGCGGTGGCAGGGAGCGTCCGGTGGGCTAGGGCCGGGAACAACCACTCTGGGCCAGTGTCCTGGTGCACCTTCTGGCTTCTCCCGCAAGACCCCTAGCTCCTTCCAGGAGAGCCAATAATCGGTGCCCTGTGTTTCCTACAATTTCGATTTTCTGAAATCGGTACAAAGCGGACCCGTGGCTCAATTCTGGCCAACTCAGACCGGTGCGAGCTTGGGGCTTGAGTTTTCCCCAAGACTGAGGACCACCAACGCGGGATTCTTCCCCTCCACTCTGCTCTTAGGATGTCTATTCTCACACACTCCCCCGCTCAAAAGCGGGAGAACGAATCGCCACAGGCCACACGTAAGACCTCACTGAAGCCTCGGAGAATCCCAGCCGCCTCTTTTCCTATAGAACTTCACCCTACCCAAGCCCAAGAAACTGTGCCTGGAGTGTGTCAGAGAAAGGAGGTGGGGGAAAGACCGAAGCCGCTTTGTGACCTTGTGACCTCTGGCCGAGGACCCAGGAGCTGGGAGTAGCTAGGAGAGTGTGAATTCTGCGTCCTTCCCGGGGATGGGACCCTGGCCTGGAGGGCCCCTGCGCCTTAGACCCGCCCCTGCCGCCACCCGGCCCGGTGCAGGCCGTCATAATCGGGTTAGCTGGGTCGGAATTACATTACCTTCCCCGGCCCGCCCCGGCCTGGGGGGGGCCCTGGCGCCTGCGAGCCGGTGAGACTGGGCTCAGGGAGGGGGGTGTTCCAACCATCCCATGGAGGGTTGGCACTGATGAGCAGCTAGGCCTGCTTTAGACACAGGATGGCCAAAGGACCCCACACAGCTATGCCAGCCCTAGCCCCTCCACCCCAGCCTACCGGGTGCTGAACTCAGGCTACCTGTTATCCATGGGAGCCATCATGCCTTCTAAGTCTAGTAGATGTGTCTCCCTGGGAGCATGGATCTTCCAGTTGATTCTCTAGTCTTCTGGGGAAAAAAATCTGCCCCCCTCCTTTTTCCCCAGCAGATGGGCTGGCAGCCTGGTGCCTGGGGCAGGGTAAGGGGTCTTTTCTCTCCAGGGACAGGAATGATATTTGGGCATCTGGGCAGGAAGATAAAGAAAAGAAAAAAAGGAGTGAGCTCTCTCCCCACCCAAAGCCACCAGCTCCTCAGTGTTCTCAGAAGCCTGTCTGAAGGGGTTGACCATGGAGGAAGAAGGCAGTGGACAATTACTATGTGACATCCTCCCCCAACTTTGTCCACCTCTATCATCCATTTCAACAGCTCTTCCCCCACCTTATCAACAGCCCCTTCTGAAAGCAGTGTGTGTGGGGTGGGGGGAGTCTCCTGCAAGTTTGGTAGGTGTGTTTTTATCTTGGTGAAGACAGACATTATCACCTCCCCTAGTCCTTCACCGAAGCCCAAGCACCCTTTTACAGCAGTAGAGAGCTGGAGCTACTAGGGGACTTGAAACTTCTGCTCTTCAAGCAAAACCTTCAGAGACAGCAGTGGCTGGATCCCCTAGATGTGAACAGAAAGCCTAGGGAGATGGCAGAGTAAATAAAGCCTCTGAAGGGTACTGGCATGGAGATTAGGAGTTTGTCAATCCCTTTTCCCACTCTAGGGAGTGGGCCTCTGTGGAGAGAGTGGGCAAATATATGTCTCAAACTAAGCTGAATAAATCCTTCCCAAATGAATCAATGAGTGAATCCATGAAGGAGAACAAGGTAGCATTATGAAGACCTGTATATCTGCTTACTGGACATCCTGACTTTTGAGGTCAGCAAGGATGGCATTGCCACCCAGGATTGCCTAAGTTGTCTTTTGAGGAGAATGGCCACAAACCAATAGTACATACAAATCTTCTAGGGAGTTAAAATATTTCAGTACCCCACTTCAGGAACAAAGGGTATCCAGTTCTGCTGGCCACAGTCTTAGAAATTTGTCTGCTTACCTTCACCTTGCTGATTCCCTGAATCTCTGAAAAGGATGGTTCCTGCTAGTTTATGTTGAAGATGGAGTCTCTGAGGTCAGTACCCTTACCTCCTATACACACTGCTTTGAATCCATCTCATCTACTGTACATGTGGCCTCCTGACTCTTAAAGTTTTCAAGTTTCAAGCCTGCAGCTTCACAAAAAGAGTCCATGTTCCCAGCCTGTGCTTCTGTGCCTTTCCTTTCTGCTGTTGGCACAGTGTCCTCCCCTCCCGGTTCCCACTCCTGTGTCATCATTTCTCTCATTAACATAGTCCTTCCTACCTGCAACTATCTTAGATCCATATTATCTAGACAAAGTTTTTGCCTGACTCTTCAAGAGAAATTGTCTTTTTCCCTTATAGTGCCCACATCCAGTGCCTCCATTTCCTCCTTATTCTTTTAACCCACTGCAAACTGGCTTCACTATACAGACATTTTCTCAGAGTGCTTCAGTGTCCAGTGTTCATTATCCGGGACTCTCTGACATGTTTTACTTTGTCGATCACCAACTATTTCTTGAAATGTCCCTTCTTTTGGCTTCTATAATATTGTCTTATTCTACATCTTTGGACTTTCATAGTCACTGCTTACGTTTTTTTCTTCACTGACTTTTCTTCTTCCACTGAAGGCTGTGAGCATTCTTCTGAACTCAGGCTTCAGATTTCTCTCTTTCCATCTGCTTCATCCATTCCAATAGTCCCATCTATTACATCCACCCAGAAAACTCTTGAGACCTCTAACCCTGGTTCTGACACTTGTGCTCCAGCCCCATTCCAACCTTCTGGCCACCTCCACCTGCCTTTGCTGCAGCCACCTTAAGTCCAAAAGGCTGGAGGACAGGCTCCGCTCCCAAGCTCCTTATTCACTTCCTCCTATTATACTTTCCTTTGAAATGTTTCACACACAGCTGTTCCTTTCCATTTCCACTAGTAAAAGCCTAATCTAGGCTATCATCACCACCACATACATTTATTCATTTGTTCATCCAGAAAATTTTGATTGAACACCTACTCTGTGCTTAGCACTGGAGATGCAGCTGTATAAATACAATAACAAAATCCCTGCTACTGAGCAGCTTACATTTTAGTGAGGAAAGCAGGTGTGAAACAAGAAAAATATATGATATATTAAATAATAATAAATGCTAAGAAAGAAAATAAAGCAAGGAAGCAGGAGAAGTGATGAAAAGGGAGTTGTGATTTATTTAGAATGATCACTGAAGGCCTGGTGGAGTAAAGACCTGAAGGAAGAAAGGATTCGTTTGGATATCTGAGCATTTCAAGTTGGGGACACAGTGGGAGTAGAGGGACTGAATGACTACAAGAGATCATGTAAGGTCTTGAAAACCATTGTAAGGACTTTGCCTTTTATTCTGATTGCAAAGAGAAGCTATTGGAAGGTTTTAGAAACTATTGGAAGGTTTTGAACAGAAAAGTAAGATTCTTAAAATTTTCTTAAGGTAAAACTAACATATACTAAACTGCACATATTTAAAGTGTATGATTTGATGTTTTGACATATGTATACACCCATGAAACCATCAATCAAGATAATAAACATATCCATCAACTCAAAAAACTTTCCTTGTATCCTTTTTTATTCATGTTTTACCAGAATCACTCTGAGCTGCTATGTTGAGAATAAGTTAAAGAGGGGCAATGGTGGAAGCAAGAAAAGCTGGCAAGACACCATTGTACTCATCCAGAGGAGAGATGATGGCATCTTGGACCAGGGAGGTAAGCAGTGACTGTAGTGAGAAGTAGCTGATTTAAAAATCATTAATCTCATAACTTCTTGCCACTTATCTACTTCAATTCAGTTCGAAGGTAAATGAACAAAAATGTTTCTTTTGTAGGGTAACTCCCTTCAAGTCTGCTAGCTCCCTATTGCTTGCAGTCTAGAAGTCCTATTTCTACTACCATTACTCTCAAATCCACACCTTGGCCCCCTTCCTGTCCCTCTATGGTCACTCCCCTCCATTCTGCCTTTTCTACTTCCACCACGTTCCTTAAACGTCCCCCCCACCCTCGCCCCCCGCAGACACGCACATCCTCTAAATTGTGCCCACACAAAGTTCCACTTCCTTCAGAAAGCCTTTTGGGGTCTCCATTAGGATTTCTCCCTTCCTGAATCTTCAATTGCACTTGGTGTTAACATTTCACAGTAAATTTATCCTTGTTTTCTTTTTTAATCCTACTGTAAGTACTTAGAGACAGAGGTGTACAAACTCGGGATGGGGGTGGGGGGCGGCGTCCTCCCAAATACGGGGCTGAGTTTGTGCTACTCCGGGGGCTCGCTGCCTCAGCGAGTCCGTGTGCGGTAGTGTCCTAGTCGTCCTCCCCTCCTCCTTCGCATCTGCTCTGCATTAGTCTGTCCCAGGCCTCCGCAGGCGCCGATGATTGAATCATCATCATTAACCACGGCCTGCCCCCCCATCCTCGGCGGCAGGGGGAGGATGGGGGGCGGTTGTAAGAGCACTACCAAGTCCCTTGGGGTCCCTCCCTCCCCGCCACTCTCCCCAAGACTCCGCAAAGCCCCGAGAAACTTCTGCTGTAGAGGTGGGAGAAGGCCCGCCATCGGGATGAAGCTCAGTAATGCGTAAGCGTCAGCCGAAGGAGACGACATGAAGAGAGGGCTCCGGAGGGGCTTCTTTAGCAGGGTCGTTGTCACAGGAGCTAGACGACCCTGAGCTGTGGCGAGCAGAGATCTCCGGGCCTTTTGGGGTAGGAGGGGGCAGTCTTTGCAGGCTCCAAAAGTTAGTCCCGAGGTCCAGCAGGGTCTATTATTATAATGACTACAAGAGGTCAGTAAGATCGGACCCCTTCCTATGACCCCCCCTTCCTAATCACAGATTGAGGAGGGGGAGGGGCCAGTGGGGCTCAGGTGAGCACACGGGGAGAAAGGGACTTGGGCGGGGCCATGCAGAGGGTCAGCGAATCCGAAAAGACCTGAGCCCTCGTTGCTGGGCGACAAGTCCCGCCCCGCAGGCGGCACCGGAAGTGGCAGGCCGGGATCAGCCTTTAAGATGGCGTCTCCTCAGGGGGGCCAGATTGCGATCGCGATGAGGCTTCGGAACCAGCTCCAGTCAGTGTACAAGATGGACCCGCTACGGAACGAGGTGCAGGGGCGGCAGGGTTACTGCCGTGGTCGGCTAGCGGTGCGAACTGGGGCCGCATAGAGGACAGGCGGTGGCTGGCCGGGCGCCCAGTGCGCCTGCGCAGAGACAGGGGGCTCAATGCGCCTGCGTGCTTGCGATCGAGTTGCCAAACTCGGGGCTAAGACGCCTGCGCATTGTGCCGCCCAGGTCGTGTAGTCTCCCCAGGGAAAGGAAAGTCGGGCGAGTCCACGTGAAGGGAGCCCCCGCTGTGCGAGGAGCCCTCTGCTGGGCAGAGGGAGAGTGTCAACCCCTGGGAACTAATCTTCGGCTGATCGCGCAGGGAGCGGGGCTTGGCCGTGGGGTCTGATGAAAGAGGCGACTCCCAAGCTGGGAAGGCACAAGGGTTGGGGATGGTGATCGGTGGAGGGTCTGTCCGCAGGAGGAGGTCCGAGTAAAGATCAAAGACCTGAATGAGCACATCGTTTGCTGTTTGTGCGCTGGCTACTTCGTGGATGCCACCACCATCACAGAGTGTCTTCATACTTGTGAGTGCCCTGGACACTGGTTCTTCCAGGTCCTAGTCCCCACCAAGCTGGCTGTCAGCCTCTGGGCTGCCTGCCCCAACCACCCAGGCACCCCATCCAGCCCACGAATCCCATTCCCAGAGGGTCTGAGAGTCTCTTTTTCTTTTCCTTTAGTCTGCAAGAGTTGTATTGTGAAGTATCTCCAAACCAGCAAGTATTGCCCCATGTGCAACATCAAGATCCATGAGACACAGCCGCTGCTCAACCTCAAACTGGACCGGGTCATGCAGGACATCGTGTACAAGCTAGTGCCCGGCTTGCAAGACAGTGAGTGACATACCTGACTTTGAGGGCCCTCTAGAGGACTGATGCTGGGTGGCAGCTTGAGATGACAAGGGCTTTAGTAGACCATGTAGCTAAAGAGTTTGACAGCCAGAAAGACGAAGAGAGGGAGAGCTGATGTTTTACTTCCCATACTCCCTTCTAGGTGAAGAGAAACGTATTCGAGAATTCTACCAGTCCCGAGGGTTGGACCGAGTCACCCAGCCCAGCGGGGAAGGTATGTCCTTTAGCAGCAGGAGGGTAAGGTAAAGCCCCCAAAGCATTCCTCCTGTTCTCTGGGGAAAAAGGAGCATGGAACTTGTGCCATCTCATCATTACTCTTTCTCAGAGCCAGCCCTGAGCAACCTCGGCCTCCCCTTCAGCAGCTTCGACCATTCTAAAGCCCACTACTATCGCTATGATGAGCAGCTGAGCCTGTGCCTAGAGCGGCTGAGGTGAGGGGTTAGGTCTTGGGCTATCTGAAGTGACAGTATCAGTGACCCAGAGCCAGGGAGGAGCTCAGGGAGATGATGAACAGTGAGGAGTGTCTGTTCTCTTGAAGAGAATATATCACGGCTCTGGGTAGGGGATGGGGGAAAATAGGGCTCCCTAACCTGTATCTGTTTCCCCCCAGTTCTGGCAAAGACAAGAATAAAAGTATCCTGCAGGTGAGAGACGCTGAGGGGAGGGCCCCTCTAAAGAGACTCACCTCCCTGGGGCCCTTCCCTCATACACCTTGTCCTGTTCCCTTCCCTCCCTACCCCCAGAACAAATATGTCCGATGTTCTGTTAGAGCTGAGGTTCGCCATCTCCGGAGGGTCCTATGTCATCGGTTGATGCTAAATCCCCAGCATGTGAGTATTCCCACAGTAGATTTTTTGGGGGAGGAGGAAGAAGCTACAAAGGGAGGGAGAGAGTCTAGAGTGGACCAGGTGGGAGGAGAGAGTTCCTAAAACTGTGCCCTCCTCTCCCTGCTAGGTGCAGCTCCTTTTTGACAATGAAGTTCTCCCTGATCACATGACCATGAAGCAGATATGGCTCTCCCGCTGGTTCGGCAAGGTGAGCCAGGGCCAAGGCAGCCCCCAGGGCAGGGGTGGGCTGAGGGGGCCTTTTGGGTAAGAACGCTCCCACTGACTACTTCTTCCCGCTTGTTTTCTCCTTAGCCATCCCCTTTGCTTTTACAATACAGTGTGAAAGAGAAGAGGAGGTAGGGGCCAAGCCCCTGCCCCATCCCTTACCCCTTCCCTCCCCAGATATTTATGTGAAATTAACTACGGCTTTATTTTTTGAAATAAAAACTTGAAAAAAGCATCTCTTTTTCTTTCTTGTCCTGTCACACACTCATGCTTTGTCATGTGTACTGCTTCCCTCAGAAATCTTCTGAATGTCATCAAGAAGGAGGTCCCTCAATGAATGACCAAAGGAGAGGGGTAGAGGACCCTACACATGTAAAACTCAGAAGGTGAGCTAAGTGAAGCCAGACCACCCACACCAGCTCTTTTGGTGAAGGAAAGTTTTTCTGGAGGGGAGTTCTCACTGTCCTTGAATGTTACAACATATGATGGAGGCCTGAGTGGAGGTGTCCTAATTCAAGAGTGGTGAGAGTAGGGCTTGGGTTGGATAGTGGCCACTGCAGGACTGAAGAAGAGTAATATTTTAAAGAAAAATCCAAAGAATTGCACCATTGAGAGGAGTCTAAAAAAATTGGGGGGCATGGGACATAGATGAATATATAGTTGGAGGCCTGGCTGTCTATACAAGATTCATCAGAAAAAAAAAAATTCAGTGGGTCTTCAAGTACTTGGACTAGGGTGAAACCAGGCTTGGGAGAGGGTAGAGCAGGAAAGGGAGCTGGTGCCCAGGAGAGCAAAGCCAACTCGAACAAGAGGGAGGCCGCAAGGTTAGCGGTCCACTGAGTAATTCAGTAAACATTCCTTGTCTGTATAAGCCCAGCCATGAACGCTGGGCTCCGGAAAGAAACCCAGCCAGTGTCCCTATTCTGTGGGCCTCTAAGTGGTGTAGCCAGAAACTTGCCTAACTGGGACAGTAACAGGGAGGCTAGAGGCGAAATCTAGGAAATGAAGGGGCTGGGACAAGCAGGACGGAGCAGGCAGCATAAATGTTGCTAGAACCCAAGTTTAAAGTGTAAATCTCCTGCTGGCTAAGATCTGATTCCGTGAATTCAAGGGGATCCTTGTGCATACCTGGTGAGGGCTGAAGGCTCTGAGCTTCCATGGATGAAGATCTGATGGCAGAGGACTTGGGGGATGGGTATACTAAAGGCAGCCCCCCTCCAGTGTGCTGGGCTGGCAACAGGAACTGGGATAGGGACATCAAATTGCCACTGGCATGGGTAGGATGCACATCTGCAAGATTCCGAAAACTTCCCACGTCTTTGGGCCTAACGCCTGGAATGCCTCTATCCCCATACTCAGCTGTCCTTAAAGGCCTAAGTGTCACCTTCTCCAGGAAACCTCTCAGAATCAGGGTTTTACCACCTCTGGGCCTGTCTCTTACACCAGCATATATCTCAAGGTTTTACGTTAATTCTGTCATTCCCCGGGTTTCCCACTCTTCTCCCTGAATTTAATCTCTGGGGACTCGGGCCCATCAGAGCACTCCACACTAAAGCTGTTCTCAAGGCAGTTAGTGTGTGAAAGGGCATTTCTGAAAAGTGACTCCAGAGGGAGAGGTGTGGGCTAGGGGAAAGGAGAGTAGAAATGCCTCTGGGGACTTTTGGTAGCCTAGGCAGCTGCAGGACCTGAGGAGTATTCTGATTGGGGCTTGGCATCCAAGAAGCCCAGCCAGAAGATAAGGCTGCCCGAAGACCCAAGACCTAAGAACCAAGCCTGGGGATGGGGGCTTGGAGGACACATGGCTTGTTGGCAGGGAGTAGCCAAAGGCGCTCAAGCTGGGATCTGGGGTAGAGCAGCTGCCCTGCCTTGGCCCCAGTCCAGCCTAGCCTTCTTGTCTGTAAGCAGCGATGCATCTCCTGAGGTCACTGGTGCAGGCCAGCTGTGGGCTTTGCCTCATTCTCCCGCAATCTGTGGATCCATTACCACCTTCCCTGGCTTGTCCCACACAGACCCTGTCCCCCCGGGTCACTTAGGTATCGCTCTGCGCCAGGTAGGGCCGATCAAGCCCCAGATTCTCTTGGGCTCCACGACGGAGCAGGTGCCTAGCCGGCCCTCTCCCGAGCGCCCTTGACCTCGCAGGGCTTCCAGGTGTTGGCATCAATCCTTACCTGCAGGACCACACCCACCGGTGCCCAAGGCACACGTTCTTGCCTAGCCACTTCTGTCCACACTCACCTAGGGGAGGAGGTGCCATGATTTGCCCCCGCCTTTGGCACAAAGGGAGACGATTCCTCTCAGCCCGGCCAGTCTATCCCAGGGCTGGGGTGGGAGTTGAGGAGATAGAGACAATGGACTTCCCTGGGACAGTGAGTATCAAGGTGTATTTAAACGAGGGAGGGGCTATGAGTATTTGGCTCCTCCCCCAGCTAGCTCGCACATGCTAGACTGAGGAGGTTGAGCAGAGTTCTGTGAACCAGCGTAAGGGTCTGGGAAGAACTCACAGACACGAGGCTTTAGAAGTAACAAAACTAAAATTTCAATATATGAAGCAGTTCAGTCTGCAGTAATGTTCTCTGAAAGAAAAAACAATCCCAGAAGTATGCAAGATAGACAGATGCCCTGCCCCTCACTCCTCGGCCTGGAGTTTCCTCCCTGAACTCCTGCTTCCCCACTTCCCCGTCAGGCTGGTTAATGGATATTGCGGGCGTGGTGGGGGCAGGAGGTTGGAGGGTGGCAAGCACATCTCTGAGTCTGTCCTTCACTGTGCACTGCTGGAAGGCGGTTATTCTGAGGATCCCCCAGTCGCTCCCACACACTCTCAGAATTCAGAGAAATGCGAGGGGTGGGAAACATGGAGACTAAAGTCATTTATTGAGCCGATCTGGTATCAAGAAGAGGGGTTGATCTGGGACAGACCTGTATGATGTCAGGGAATGAGAGGTAAGGTGGGGGTGATAAGAAAAGAGAATAGGTGGATAAGATGGTGGGATGAGGAATGGAAATCTGAAGGGGAGTAATGAAGGAAAGTATGAGAAAGCATCGTTGTTAGGGAATTGAGACCCATTCCTGAGGGAGTGAAAGTCGGAATGTGGGGATTTCTACAAGGGGAGGGAGCTGAGGGCCCCCAGGTGTCTGAAAGGGACAGTGTGGGGAATCTGAGGAAGACTTGAAGGATTACTTGAGAATGCTGGGAGGGAAAAACAAGAGGGGTCGGGGGGGTGGGCAACGGTGAATGATTATGTCTGTGGATCGCTCTGGGACTGATCTAAAGCAGGGAGGGTTGGACCATGGTGGGGGGAGGAAGAGGTTCACGGTTCACATCACAGAGCACTAGAGACTGTCGGGGGCAGGGGCTCTAAGCTCAGGTAGGGGGAAGCCTGTAAAACAGCTGAGCGACCCCCTCTACACACACACACCCCCCAGGCCCAAAACCCAGGTTTAATCTCTTAATCTCCCTCATTAATCACTCGCCCTCTTCCTACCCCCTCCGAGGATCTGGTTTCTCACCATCTCAGGTTCCAGAGGCTTCGCTAGAAAAAGTCCCCTCCTGTGGCCCCACAGTCGTCTGGAAAAGTCCTTGGCTGCTGGGAAGACCTTAGCTGGGCTCTGCTGTCAACAGCTTCCTCCCATTACTAGTCTCTCCTTCCCTCTCCTCCCCCAAACTCACATCTGGGGATCACCTAACCCCATTACCTGAGCCTGGTTACAGAGGGAAGAAGGTAGGCAGGAGAGATGGAAGTGGAGGAAGGCAAAGGCCCTTCAGGAGAGCCCCACACTCCCCACAGACACACACTAGTAATTGAGAGCAGAAGAGGTGACATAAAAGCTACATAGACGATGCATGAGTGAAAGTCATAGTGTCTGTTTGGTGACAGGCCTGGGTTTCTGCAGCCTCCTGGGATTCTCTTTAATTGCAGATTAAGTGAAACCACCAGGATGGTTCAGAGAGCTGGAGCCTCCAGCTAGGAGGCTCTCCTGGCCTTCCTCTGCCTCCCACCATTAGTAACCAATTAAAGTCCTGAGGCATCTCAGATTTCTGCTGTGGCCTGGCTCTGTTCTCTGACCCAGCAGTGGCCCATTGGACTGAGTTGTTGCTCGGGCTACCACAAGAGCACTATATGAATGTCTGGATGTGTCTGGGGGATGGGGTGGTCATTGGAGGGAGCCTTTACCAAGATGATACTGTGTTTTTCCGCCTTCATTGGGTGGGCCAGGTCAGTGCCTCAATGTGAGGTTCCCTAACCCCCATTATCAGAGTGTCTTCCTATCCTTGTTAAGAAGTCATTGGCCCAGGTACTTCAGATCTCTCAAGTTTGGCACCACAACTTCAGGCTCTACTTACCTCAGGGAATAGACAGGTAGACACAGATCACTGCACAAATGATGGGAGTTGCAGAGGTCTATAGAGAAGGTGACAGAATGGACAGTCTAAGAGGGACTGGCCCTGTTCTTAATGGTGCTATTTGAAAAACTAAACCCCATAACAACAAGTTCCTTCAGAGTTGTGAGTTCCCCAGGAGTGGTGGGACTTCTCTGTGTCTGGGCTGTGAAACCCCTAGCTATTTGGGGTGTGATATTCAAACAAAAACTTTGCCTCATTGGGCCTCCACTGGCAGAACAGCACTGTTCCAGAACTGCCTTATTAGTGCAAAGGAGGGCTGTGTGGTACTCACCTGAGTGCAAGCCCAGGACTAGTTATGGGAGAGAAGAAAGACACACTGGACACAAATAAAATAGGAATGACTATCCCAGGTCATAGTTTCTCCCTGGATTGGCAAAAGTTTCTGTCCCCGAATCTGGTTGGGTCCATGAAGAGGACTTTTCAAGTCACTCTTCTATAGGGCAGTGACCAGTGGCCCCTTCCACCATTTCTCCTGCTTGTAGGTTTCTGGGCCTCCCCAGGCTAGGTAACCCCTACTGGAACTACAGGAGCTTAATGAGACCAAGACAAACTGACTGATAGATGGATAGGATAGTGTAACCAGAAGGCACTCTGTGGAGGCCAGTCTTCACTAGCAAAAACTCCTCCTGGTCAGTAGCCCTAACTCAGGGTTTGCTGTGTCCTCTCTCCTGAGGCCCAGGTCTTCGGGGAATCTCCATGTGTTTTGACTCAGGGCCTCTGAGCTGTGCTGGGACAACCTTGGGTCCAGCGGGAGAGCTGGCTGGAGTCCACTCACCTGCATGTGCATCCCTCATCGCATCCCCACTATTCCCCATGCAATAGTTCTGCCCGGCCAGGTCCTTCCAAGTCTTGAGTTCTCCCAGCATCCCACACAGCGCTAATAACCTCCAGCTGCCACGACCTCTTTAAAGAGCTTTCCGCAGGGGTGTGTTGGGGGTGGTGGAGCCAGGTCAGGAGACTGAGGTCCTTCCTAGGTGGGATCGGGGATCCCAGTACAGACAGCTCTGATTTCCCTCCAAGGACTTTTGCAAATCCCCAGCCAGGGCCAGGGAAAGCAATTTTACTGCCGACGAGTTTATGAGCCAGAACGGCAGCTAGGCAGGGAGTCCGTGGCACACAGCATCTGGGGGCTGCCCCGGAAGGGTCCAGCCGGAATAAGCACGAAGCCGCTGGTTGTTCCGCTGGCTTCTCTCTGCGCCTCCCTTAGCCTGTAGAAATACCTCTGCCGAGATATCTACCAGTTCCAGACCCGCCACGGGTTGGGGGGTGGGAGCGCAGGAGGAGGGGCACACGGGGCTCAGGCCCAGAGCGGGGGGCGGGTCCGAGACGGGGGGCCCAGATCGGGAGCCGAGCGCTGGGGCCCAGGCAGCTGCGGATCCGAGCGCAGCTGGCGTTGGGACCACCATAACCTGGCCGGCCATGAGCTCGGGACCCGAGCCCCGGACAGCCCGGACACCCTTCAGCATCGCAGACATCCTAGGTCCGCGCATAGTCCCCCGAGGATCCTCTGTGTCACAGCTTCCTGAGTCGAGCCCAGGTCCCACGTCGCCGCTGTGCGCGCTGGAGGAGCTGACTAGTAAAGCTTTCCACGGACTTGACGGGCACGCTCCACAGCCCTCTGAAGGTACAGCGCCGGTCAAGTCGCTCACTGTGACTTGGCCTTCTCCCCATCTCTCTCCTCCAGGTTCCCAGGTCTCCACATTCATTCACCCTGGCCGCCACCCTAATCCGCCCCCTGCCTTCAGTCCATGTGCCGAGACTTGTATCTCCCACTCCTCACTTCCCCTCTATTAGTTCCCAGGCTCCCCTGCCGCTCTTGGAGGCCACTAACGCCAAGGGGAAGGGACTGGCAGTCCAGCGACCTGTTGGTCCGTTCGCTGTAGGCGGGGCAATCGCGACAGAGAAAGGCTGGAGTGAAAGAGACAAAAGGCCAGAGCTGGAGGCTGTAAACGAGTGAGCTGAGGCTAGGGTGGCGCAGAAAGTGCCGGGAGGCTCAGCTCCGGCCTCTCCGAGTAAACACGCTCCTCTCCAAGCCCTTCTTTTCTGGAGGGGGCGCAAGGCGCTGAAGGTCCTTGGAGCGGCAAGTGCCCTGGGACTACAGATTCTGCCTTTCCTTGCTCTTTGTATCCCCACTACCTCCCTTTTGGGCTTGTGGAGGGGGCACCCATGTCACTAAAAAAGAATAAGCCGAGAGTGTCCAACAAGACCCACGAGTCTATAGAAGGGCCCGATGCAGGTGCGATTACACTCACCACGCTGGGTCAGTTGCCCCTACTCTGACCGTGGTTGGCCCCCCGCTTCTGGTGCGGGCCCCAATTTACAAGCCCGCTCAATCCGGGCCTCAGAAAGGCCACAAAGACCCCGCCCCAGACGGCCTGACCCTGCACCAGGCCTCTTCTAGCCGGTCCCGCCCTCTTCTCTCCCCCCACCCCCTTTCTCCTCTATCGCTCAAGAAGCCCTTAGCCTACTGCCTCCCGTACCCCAGTGGCGGATTCCTCTTTGTGCCCCCACCGTCTCCTCAGCCTTACCCCCACAGTTCGGTAATGGACTACAGTCTGACTCCCGTCCCCTCACCCCCACCCTGGGCCTGACCCCATCCCTAGTTTTTCCTCCCAGGTGGAAGCCCGGTTCACGAAGGCTGGAGACTGATTCCTGCCCTATCTCCACAGACCGCGCGGCCCCGGGCGCTCTGGGTCCCGGCCCAGCCGGCCGCAGACGGCGAAAGTCACGCACCGCGTTCACCGCGCAGCAGGTGCTAGAGCTGGAGCGGCGCTTTGTCTTCCAGAAGTACCTGGCTCCCTCTGAGCGTGACGGGCTGGCAGCGAGGCTTGGCCTGGCCAATGCGCAAGTTGTCACATGGTTCCAGAACCGGCGCGCAAAGCTCAAGCGGGACGTGGAGGAGATGCGCGCGGATGTGGCCTCGCTGCGCACGCTGTTCCCCGAAGTCCAGGGCCGCCTTGCGCTGCCCGACTGTGCAACCGGCCTCCGCCCCGCACGGCCTGACTCCAGGCCCCACCTGTCAGACGAGGAGATACAGGTGGACGATTGAAGGCCAAGCCGCCTTCCGGGTTCTGGCGCCCTGGACTCCTCGCCTCCGCCCTCCGCTCCCTGTCCGGATTGCGGGGTGGAGGGAGGGTGTCGACCCCAGCCTCTTCAAGTCGAGACGCCCATCTTTCCCAGTTCTTAAGAATAAAGTCGATACCACGCCTCAATCCCGCGCCTGGAGCAATAAAGAGCAGTGTCTGCTGATTATTGCGAAGATTCCGCGCTTGGCACTGTGCGTGCGGAGCGCTTTAAATGCAGTTTCCTTTAACCCTCATGGCATCCCTATAAGGTAGATGATTTAATTATGGCCATTTTGCAGAGGAAGATCGCCTAGGTCAGGATTTGTACCCATTCATCCAGCTAACCTTCAGAGCCCCGGAGACTCCCAGCTGAGGGCAAGGGAATGGAACTCTGGTAACTGCGGGCGACTCCCCGCCCTTACTAGCCGCGTGGGTCGCAGGACTCCACCGAGTCTTTGATCTGCCACCGCTTCGGAGACCTTGCCTCTAGTCTGGCCCCCAATGTGACGACGTCTTACCTGACTCCTCTTTCCCCACCTTGAGGTCGTTTGTTAATGGGGTCTCGACCCCTCTCCCTTCCCCCGCTGGAAGAACCCTACGCTGGGCCATAAAGTGATGCGTGCCGAGAGAGAGAGTAGAGCCCTACTTCCGGGACCTCCGCCCCAAGCTGGGCAGAAAATGTTTCCGCTGGGACAGTGGCAGAAGGGTGGGATGGCCGGGCCTTGCCCGTGGAGGGCGGAGCTTGGATTGGCTGCCTTGTCTGGAGGAAACCTCCAGCCTACCTCCGCTGGCGGACATTTCTTAATTTTTTTCCACCGGTGATTAATCATCCTGTAGTGTGACAGAGAGGGAAGAGGGGCACTCGGTGGCTACAGGCCCTCCTGCATGCCTGGCCTTCCCAGAGGATCTGCAGGAGACTATACTTAGGTTTTTGCTGTTTCCCCTCTCTCGTTTGTCAGTACCTTCACCCTCCTCAGACCTTCCCATGAGTCTGCCCAGGTGCCACAATCGCTCTCTCAAGGACGCTCTGGGAAAAGTCCACCCAGGGTTCGAGAGGGCTCAGCTAGGGCCTCAGTTGCAAATGGAGGTCCCAGAAGAGGATATTTAAGGAAGGGTGAACAAGGCTGGAAAGCAGAAGGGAACCTGGTATTTTCAAACAATAAGCTACCACTTATTGAGCAGTTCTAATGAGAACTCGCATGGATTAATCTTCACAATCTTCCATGGATTAAGTCCCCATGAGATAATGGGGGCTTTAATCTCATTTTAAGGATGAGAGATTGAATCACAGAAGGCCCAAAGAAACTTGGTCATGTCATGAAGCTTCTAAGTGGTAGGGCCAGGACTCACCAGCTTGTTTGACTCAGGAGCTCATGGTTTTGGCCACTACAGGTTCTGTCCCTATAGCTGTGACCTAATTGAAAGAAAAGTGTTTACGGAAAGAGGCAAGGGAGAAGTGCCAAAGGTAAGAATTTAGGCAATATACCGCAGATGGCATGGTCCTTGAGGTAGAGACGAGGTATGACAGCAATGTTTAGGGCAGGCTAATCTGGCTGCATGTGTAGGGGTGGACCAGAGACTGAGGAAGTAGTATATTTCTGGTCACCGAAAAGGTAAGGGCAGAGAGAATTGAGGGCCAGACTTGGGGGAAGAGAGGGCGGCTACCAGGAAAGAGGAATCAATGTGATTCCCCAAATGACCAAAAATTGCAGTGACAGCATTGCAAACCTGGGCATCATGGACAAAAACAGACAATGACAACTAGTATAAAGCTAAGAATTTGTCACCACTATGCACAAAAGTATCTGTATCTGTGTTGCCTCTTCAATACACACACACAACACACACATGCGTCCCCTGCTTCATGTTCAGGACCCCTTGCGTATTCCCCCATCCCCTTCTAAAGGTTACCACTCTGGAACCTTTAGATTAGAGTGACCAACTCATTCTTATATGCCCAGGACTTCTCCAGTTTTAGCACTGAAACTCCCACAGCCCAGAAAATCCTTCAGTCTCAGGAAAACCAAGATAGTTTGTCACCCTGCTTTCCAGCCCTGGAGACTCAGAACTCAGGCTGCTGGGTCAGAACCATACCATTTAGCAGTGTGAGTGTAGATGCAAGGAGTCATGAATTCTGTGGCTCTTAGAGAAATGTAGGATAGACTAAGAGGTACTGGGGAGGGGACATTTCTTTGAGAGGCCGGAAGAGCAAGGAGCCAACTCAGCCTGACAGATACTATGCAGTAGTGGTGGGCAGCCATTTTTGAGGGGCCAAGAGCCCAGAGAAGTGTCCTAAAACAAGGAGGCCAGATGGGCAGGCCTCTGATGGAGTCACTGTAATATCATCCCTTAAATACCACTTCTCCCCAGTCAGGCATGAGCGAAGAACTTCCAAGGCAAATAATTCTATTCAGGAAGGTGGGGGGCCAGTCAAGTTAATTGGCTCTGAGCCATAACCTCCACCAATTTTAGGCTTATTAAATTATAGACCAGTGCTGCCACCTCTTGGAATCAAGGCTTGAATAAACAAAACTCAAACCTACCCTATCAAAATGGCCTCTGGATGGGCATCTCTTCTGCTAGGTCCAGGAGCAGAGCTTCTCAAAAGTCAGGGTGCATAAGGAGCACCTGGAGGACTACTGAAACACAAATTGCTGGGTCTCCCTCTTGTGGATTCTGATTTAGATCTAGGGTGGGTGCCAAGAATTTGCATTTGTAACAAGTTCCCAGGTGACGCTGATAATGCTGATTCAGGGACCACACTTTGAGAACCACAGACCCAGGAACTCTATTTTATGAGATAAGCAGCAATTCATTTGTCCTCTCTTCCCACCATGAAAATCATAAATATGTAGGACAGTTGCAGATAAAAACTGATTTATTTAACAGCCACTATGTACCAAGCACTTGGTAGATGTTTTCTCACACTTTCTTTCAGTCCTCACAACAGCCCTGTGAGGTAGGGACTGCCCCCATTTTACAGATGAGGGAACTGAAGCATAGATGTTGAGAGACCTGCCCAAGGTGACACAACTAATAATGGCAGATTTCATCCTGCTATACGGTATTTAAGGGGGTTCCGACCATAAACAATAAAAAGAATTTGGGAAAGCCCTGTGTAAAGGAGGTGACTCAATACCTCCTATCTCCAGGTGTGAATGGTGTTGAGCAAGACCCATAGGGCAGCAGGAA